TTTTTTTTGTGAGGTTTTTGATTCACTAATCAGTTTCTCCATGCAAGATGTCTCAAACATTTCAGCCAATCAGTAAGAAGACCCCAACCCCCCCTTCCATGGCCTTCTTTTACTTTGTCATCATAACCATTTGAACACCAGAATTTTTTCCGCCAAATTTCAGTATAATATTTTGCACATTTTTCTTTATTCAACTCTAATTTATTTGTTGATTTTGGTTTGAATGGATATAATTGTCCGTTGCCTACAATTCCTAATCAAAATTTTTGAAGGAATAAAAAATAAAATTAAGCACCAGACTATACAGGTTCATTTTGTGATTGGGGACAGACATTGAATCTGGTGTTCAAATGGTTAATGTAAAGCCATCCATGATTGGTTCATAGTTGTGCTAATGATACAACTCCTCTGATTGGACAGAATCAAGTGGTGTACATTAGCCAATCAGGAGGTGGATCAATAATTCAAAAAAATAACTATGAAATAAAAAAAAACATGCAACAGTTTCTGGTGAAATGTTTTTGAATTAATTTTATTGTCCAAATATGACAGTCTTCGCAATAAATACATATAGAATCAAGAAAAAAAAAGCACAATTAAAAGTAAGAACCATAAATACATTGTATTATTAAATTCAGATTGCTGACTAAAATCTTCTCATTACACTTTAACTAAACCAGTCAACATAATGCAGTAACATTTAAAATATTCCCTTAAAAAAAAATGTTTGACTTTCACATCAACATTTCTGAAATCAATATCTCTAATAAATATTTCACATAAAACTTTGCAAATTAAAATCATTATTTTTCCTTGCATGCTAAAAGTATCAGTATCTGAACATATTACAGTAAAATGTTCTAAAATAAAAAAATATTCATTTATGATGCAAAAGTAAAGCAGCTCTGTCTGGAATCTCGCTAGTTGGAAATGTTGATTAGAAAGTCTGTTGCTTACAGGATGGAATTAAATATCATTTTACATTTGTGGAATTATCATTGCAGAGTCAAATGTGTACCCATAAAAATGGTAGTTAAGTACACTGTGTAAACAATATACATGTGTTGTATTCATCGCATGGGACTCACATCAGACATGCATCCCTTAAGACCTGAGCCCCTCTCTCCAACACAAAAAAAAAATAAAAATACAAAACAAATGTATAAGCTGCATGGAACAATGTAGTCATGTCATCTTAAATCATCAAAAAGATTAAGTGTGATTTGTCAAATATAATAACTTTACAATTTAATGTATATTAATGAATGTATGTTTTGCTGTCTTTGAACAAATCGAATTAAGCTTTGTTTGATCCAAAATCAACAACAAAATCTAAAAAACATAATTGTGATATCTTGGCATCAAAAATGTTTTAGTTGATCATGTGTGTTACCATATTTGGAATTAGAATTATTCAAATTAATTCCTTATTTGGCATTTTAATTATGAATATTCAAATTAGTTCCTTATTTGGCATTTAAATTAAGTTGCATCTGAAGAGTTAAATATTGAATCGCCACAATGTGTTACAAGTTCTTCCAATTAGATTTCTTTTTACAAAATTTGGGATTACCTTTTAAATTCAAGTTCACACATTGGTAGCATTCTAGATGAATGAATTGCTTTGAAGCTGATTTTTCTTCTTAGACTATCCAAATCTCTCTGGTTAAACTGAGACAGTTTCCTCCGCAGTTAAGACATGAAACATCACCACTCTTGTGCTGGATGAAAACATTCTCACTGTCACCATAACAACTGTTAATGAGGAGTTGCCGTGGCAACAAGTTTTGACATTTTGACCCTACTACTGTCGAGTGCTCAAATACGCTAAGTATTAACCCGCCATTTGTGTTTGTCGGAGTTGTGTTCAAAAGCAGTCAACGTACCAAATTAGCATTGTTTGTGATGGTTCGAGTGTCCTCATCGGCGCTTAAATCACCAAAGCCGCTTTCTGCAACTAACTCTTTGACGGAATTAGATGTGTCGGCATGTTGTCAATGAAATCACGACTCGGCAATGATTAGAAAGAGATCTAACTCTGAAGTGTCTTTCAATTTCAGTTGAATATTTCTTTTATAGCACTCATCAAATAATGTGAGCAGGCCCATTATTGACGACAGATTTCCTCTAATTAGAAGATGACCTTCCTTCAATACACAATTTAGTTAATATTCGAAATTATTTTTTTTTTTCGTTTTCACACTGCCATTTTGACTAGAATTGTTAATTGTATTATATTTGCTTACCAATTAAATTCTTCTAGCAGTTTTCAGCAGAAACTTCTTTTATAGTTTTTTATTCTTTACAGTTAAAAGCTTAGTTTATTTTGAATTTGTTGGCTGATAAAAATACTCCTTTATACTAGTGGGTAATTGCGTTGCAAGTTATTATTTATTTTTTACTCCAAATTGCTCAGAATTTCAAGAAAAGTTTAGACATGTATTTTTCTTCGTCCATCAAAAGTGTCAGAGTAAAGCAAGCGAAAAAAGCGTGCAAGCGAAAAAAAAAAAATCTGAATAATCTAGGCCGAAATAAATATATTCATGTTTCTGGTCACCAAACATTTCTTTTTTTTATTCATGATAAATAGAAATGAGTCTCTACATATGACACTGCATGAGAATTTCATCATCTTGGTTATCATGGCAATGGAAAAATAATAACCCTTTTTAAAATTAACATGGTGGTTATGCCTTTGAACAATTTTGTCTTAAAATTTCACTCTACAAGTCAAAATACAGCAATCTTGTAAAACTATGCCATGTTGTCATTCTATTATACTTGAATGCTTACTTGTTTGATTAGCGATTGTATCATTAAATTTGTAGAAGACAATGTAAATTACTTTATTTTTGTGAGTTGGAAACAAAAAATCTCGAAGGTCTTTAAAAAACAGAAAGACACAATGACTTTCACTGCAGTCCTGGGAAGTCACAGTGGTGGGTTATATGGAGTCACAATGATTTTCACTGGTGTCCTAAGCTGTCAGAGTGACTTTCACTGGGATCCTAGGGAGTCACAGTGACTTTCATTGGAGCCCTAGGTAGTCACAGTGACTTTCAATGGGTCCTAGGGATTCCCAGTGTAATTCACTGGGATCCTAGGAGGTCACTGGCTTTAACCTGGGTCCTCTGAAATCACAGTCACTTTTATGGGGTCCTAGGGAGTCACAGTGACATTCATGAAATATCTGCAATTTGATAGCAGTAAAAAACCAAACGTTATTTAAGTTAGTTGTGTTGAGCCATTCTCACCTCCAAACACATCTCATAAAACCTGGTGATTTCAACACAACTTTTTTCTCCCTTTTATTGAAAAAAAAAATTGTGATAATGGTCTTTGAAATGATAATTTAATCACCCAGAAGGATGGATTGAAAATAAAGCTGATGTGATATCGACAGATGTAACGAAAAACTGCTATACAAGGGTTGAGGAGAGCGCCTGCTACAAACACACAAGTGCATTTCTAGTTTGCTTCGTAGTACAAAGCAGCACGCTATACAGTCGCATGTTCAAATTATGTTGTTTACACTTGTACATGATCATATCAGTTCAATCTACATAAATACACTATAGAATACATACCGGTACAAACAATTCTCAAGAACACGTCTTACTTGGTGGGATATTTCACTGTCCATATGCTGAATACAAATTTTTTTTTTTTTTTTTTTTTTTTAATTTTGTTACTTTGCTTAAAAATCACAATTTTTTAAATTAATAAATACACTTAAAACAAAGCTGTTGTCATGTGTGCAATCTCTGCAATTCATATATAAACATACCACTATGAATAAATTGGTTACTATGGCAACACATAAAACAAAACTTGTAATCACATACCACTATGAATAACATCATTGGGTATGTCTATTGCAACATTGTATATATTTTTTTTCTTTCTTAAAAAAAAAAAAAAATTACATTTTTGGCACTAATTGTTTATACTCAGATACAGATGAAAGATTGACCAATCAAGATCTTGCTAGGGTGGGGTGGATTCGGTTCGTGGTTTATAAAATTCAAAATAAATGACACGAACAAAGTAGCTTTTAACATAATGAAGAACGAGTTTGCCGTAATCAGTCCCCTTCCAAGTTCAGACATTATTTCCCCCCATAAGCTTAATTTTCTGAAATCATTTTACAATTTATCACAGAGCTCCTTCACCTTCATATCTGTACTCATAACCCGCACACCTGTCAATTTATATCCTGGTAACCTCAACACTAAAAACCAAACATTCTTCGTTTTTAAGAATCTCTGACAGTGATTAATAAATTCTATATTTGGGCATTTAAACAAGTTATCTCAACCAATGGCAGTGATCCACTCAATTCACATAATTTAAACTTATAACTGACAGGTGTTAATTTGCATATTCATAATTAAATGACACTTCATTGCATTAATTTTCTGAAAGTTTTTGTTGTTTTTTCACTGCTAACATTCATTTTTCGAATAAATCAATCACTTAGATCACTGAGCGAAGAGAATTTGATGCTAAATGGTATTTATAAGTCTGAGGCAAACCTCATGAATATTCATGTGGCGAATTTGCAGCATTTTTTGCAATTCATGAGAAAAATTGTTTTTCATATAGAAAATAAAATAAATAGTCTCTAAATCTGTCTCTTTGCTGCTAAACAAATGTCTCAGTCTGCCACCTATCTATCTTAAGATGGGACATTTGCCATATAAGGCGTATTTGTACATTGTATTCTACATAATTATGAATATTCAAATGAGTTCTTCATTTAGAATTTTTTGGAACAAAGCCATGTCTACTTGGCAGAATTTCTCATCACTTTTTCATTTGCTTATTAAAAAAAAAAGCAAGTCATTAACAAGACAAATTGAGTAAAAAAAAATTGTTCAATAATTGCTTCGACCTTTGTTTGACTTGACCTTGCAGCAATTGCAGGGTGAAAAAATGGAAATGTGAACTTGTAATACAGGGAGGGGAAGCCTGGCAAGGGACATGAGGTGTTATTATCTTTGCTCTCACTATCAGTCTCTGACAATGCCTACTTTCCCTGCAAAAAATAAACCTAGCTGTCGATACACAAAGCATACACCAAATTAGCACAATTACTCCACATTGTAGGGAATCTATCTCAACTCAATATGCGTATCCATTGGCAACCTGACCCTTGTAGTGTGCAACTCGGTTGCTATAGTGACTGTCCATCAAGTCGTCCATAGTACCGTTACTGAGCATTGTGGGATACGACTTTGTTCGTTGGATTTCCTCAGTGCATTGCACAACGTATCGTTTACTCGTGTCATTGTAATAGTTATACATGGAGTAGTTGGATGGATATTGATTGGCTGTGCTCGCTAAATAGTCTGAGCTGCTGACGCGTTTGGAGTACTCTTTACTATAATCTAGAGCGGTTGGAATATCATTCCCATAATGCAGTGTACTCATATGGTTGAAGTATGCAGATCTGCTATTGTTTGTTTCTGCAGTTCTTTCTGCATTTGTAGTACTTGCACTCGGCGATTGCGTATTGTTTATTTGGTTTCTACTCGTGACCTGAACAGGGCTGGTTTGACTGGTGGACGGCGTGGATGGCGTTTTCGGTGAACTCTGCTGTCCTTGTCTCGAATGAATGTTTTTTCCATCCTCTTCTTTGACTAACTGTTGGGTCGCTTGGATGAGCGTGTCCATTTTGGTACCATCGGCATGCTGTTGGTATCTCTTTGTTTTGTTTTCTGGATCAATATTCACAACTGTCTCAGTCCGCGCTGAGAAAGTGCTCACATCCGGGCTTTGGTGTGTGTGCTGTGAATCCCTGTGATGATGTTGTTGTTGTTGTTGATGCGGACTATGTGTAGAACTCTGAGTCGGCGATATTGCGACTGATGATTGCACATGTGCACTGTTTCTATGAGCAAGTGTGGAGGATTGGCCACAGCATTGAGGTTCAGACATCCTATGCAACAAGGTCTCTGATTGGCTGCTATTATGTGCATGAGCAGCATCATGGTTGCTATGGTAGTACGGATGATGCTGCTGTTGGTCGTCTTCATAATGAGTTCGGTACTGCATACTGTCAGCACTGCAGTGTGCATATGGGTCTGACGTACCATAGTAAGACCCAGTGTAACTATAACCACTATCACCATAGATACCATATGCTGTTGGCAACATTGTTGGTCCATATCTTTCCACTCCCTCCTGATAAGGAATTGTGGGATATCCAGACATCGCAACTGGAACATCGCACGTCGGATACTGCCCATATCCCCTATCTGTCATGTATTCATTCATTAAATGACCTTCGTACATTGCACTCGCTGTTGCTATGGAATACGGAGAAGCTTTCTGTGCACGTGATTTGCATTTGGTTGGACGTATTTTTCCAGCTCGCGATCGCTCACTGCTGCTGTTACTACTATAGGCATTATGAAGAGTGTTCACTTCCAATTGGTCCATGGATAAATAAAGTTCTTTGTCTTCTGAATTTCTGCAAACAAAACGACAGAAAATGCATGATGTAATGAGCTTTCTGTTACTATTCTCCAATCTCTTCTAGCTCGGGAAAATAGTTTAAGCGAATATAAACTTCAATCCTATTGGATGGTTATTGTCCAATCAGGTTACATGTCTCACTAGAGAAATACTTGTTTACACATTATTCCTTCAGAAATTTTATTTATATTAATACCAATCCCACATAATTTTAAAAACACTGAACAAATTCACATCAATTAAATAAATTGTAATGATAATTAAGTATGTTTTCTAACAGCAATATCTTACTTACGTGAGAACAGTATTGACGCTTACGATACAATGTGGACGTGATGAACGGCTGTTGTGCACAATGGTGGCTGAGCTCTGCATCCACACCCAGCCTCCTTGTTTGGTAAGAAAGCGAAAATATTTGGTGGTCACCTGTCCTTTTAAAAGTACTGAAGACAATGAAAAAAGTATTATTCAAAACTTGATAAATATATGCCCCTTAATGAAATATATAAGAATGTCTCCTTTCACAAATCTCCCCTCATGAATATTCAAGAATGTGTTTACTAATGAATATTCATGAATGGGTTTACTCATGAATATTCATGAATGTCTTCACTCATGAATATTCATTGTCTCCCCTCATGTATCTCATCATTTATCTCTCCTCTATCTTCACTCAATTATTCAACTACAAAAAAAACTTTGGCTACT